AGTGCAATTTCTGACACAAATTCATAAATCCACGAGTACGAGGAAGCTCAGCGGATCTCAACACGAACGTTCGCCCATCACCTGCAATGGAATATGGGCTGTATGATACGACCAGCGGCTAACACGGGAAGTGGCGTCATTTTCCACAAATCTCGTTTCATTCACAACCATTTGACTGCAATTCAGTGCAATTTCTGCCACAAATTCAACTCCACGAGTACGAGGAAACTCAGCGGATCTCAACACGAACGTTCGCCCATCACCTGCAATGGAATATGGGCTGTATGATACGACCAGCGGCTAACACGGGAAGTGGCGTCATTTTCCACAAATCTCGTTTCATTCACAACCATTTGACTGCAATTCAGTGCAATTTCTGCCACAAATTCAACTCCACGAGTACGAGGAAACTCAGCGGATCTCAACACGAACGTTCGCCCATCACCTGCAATGGAATATGGGCTGTATGATACGACCAGCGGCTAACACGGGAAGTGGCGTCATGTTCCACAAATCTCGTTTCATTCACAACCATTTGACTGCAATTCAGTGCAATTTCTGCCACAAATTCAACTCCACGAGTACGAGGAAACTCAGCGGATCTCAACACGAACGTTCGCCCATCACCTGCAATGGAATATGGGCTGTATGATACGACCAGCGGCTAACACGGGAAGTGGCGTCATTTTCCACAAATCTCGTTTCATTCACAACCATTTGACTGCAATTCAGTGCAATTTCTGCCACAAATTCAACTCCACGAGTACGAGGAAACTCAGCGGATCTCAACACGAACGTTCGCCCATCACCTGCAATGGAATATGGGCTGTATGATACGACCAGCGGCTAACACGGGAAGTGGCGTCATGTTCCACAAATCTCGTTTCATTCACAACCATTTGACTGCAATTCAGTGCAATTTCTGCCACAAATTCAACTCCACGAGTACGAGGAAACTCAGCGGATCTCAACACGAACGTTCGCCCATCACCTGCAATGGAATATGGGCTGTATGATACGACCAGCGGCTAACACGGGAAGTGGCGTCATTTTCCACAAATCTCGTTTCATTCACAACCATTTGACTGCAATTCAGTGCAATTTCTGCCACAAATTCAACTCCACGAGTACGAGGAAACTCAGCGGATCTCAACACGAACGTTCGCCCATCACCTGCAATGGAATATGGGCTGTATGATACGACCAGCGGCTAACACGGGAAGTGGCGTCATGTTCCACAAATCTCGTTTCATTCACAACCATTTGACTGCAATTCAGTGCAATTTCTGCCACAAATTCAACTCCACGAGTACGAGGAAACTCAGCGGATCTCAACACGAACGTTCGCCCATCACCTGCAATGGAATATGGGCTGTATGATACGACCAGCGGCTAACACGGGAAGTGGCGTCATTTTCCACAAATCTCATTTCGTTCACCCCAACTCAAATAAAAATTGAAGTACAATAGGGATTTATCTTGCATTTCCATCGCCTCAGAATAAATTAACTTCGATAAACTGAGAGAGAATGAGTGAGGCAGCTGGAAGAATTGAGGATGAAAATAGAGATCAGAAGACTCGACGGAGCAATCGTCTCCGTTCTCTAAGAGAAATCGGAGAATGTCCCAATTAGTATTTCAAGAAGACATCACAATTTTCGAAAATAATAATTTCCTTGCCTCGCAACACCGTTCCCTGGCAGCGTTCCCCGGCAGCGCGAGGCAAAGATGTTTTCTGGGAATGTGTGCCGTGTCCTCTCCCGGGCTTTTACGACTTATTATTATTATTATTTTGCTTGTTCGCGTTGGCATCAACCTGCATAAAGCAGGTATATAGCCTTCGCTTAAGCTGCCATAAAAAAGAAAGCTCATCCTAAGCGAGAGGGCTAGAGGGAAATATAACGATAACGAGATACAGAATACAAAGAAATCCAATGAGTTCAACGTACAATTCAAAACAAGAAAGAAAGGGAAGAAAAACAGAGCCGCACGACTCCCTGGTCATTTAGAAAAGCGATCCTGTCAGCTTTTCTATTATTGTGTTCACATGGCAAGAAAAACGACACCGCTATGCTACGTAAGTTTCTACGTAAGGTGCTCGGTATTTCACTTAGGCTACGTAAGTCTCTACGTAAGGTGCTCGGTATCTACCAACGCGTGGTAGCCGCGTGCTGTGCACGGCAGACTACTAGTCCTAGTCCGCGGATGTCCGTGTTCGGATGTGCATGCGCGAGGAACTTCCTTCTTTGGAACTGCTTCTTGCATGAGCTGTTTCGGATATTTCGACTCCTGGCTTATTTCGTTTCGGCGCTGCTGAGACCTACTTTCGCGGAATATTACTCACACACAGGTGAGTTGACCAGTTACCTTTGATTCATCTGCTTGTGTTGACTCTTTCATTCACGAAAAGTGTGCTGATTTTAGGCGGAATGCAATTAATAATGGAAAAGCTGACAGGATCTCTTTTCTAAATTTAGCTTTTCCGCTGCCGAGGCCACCTTTTACGGAATACGCGATGACAGGTGATCTCTGAGTTGACCGGTTTCCTTCGATTCATTTGCTTATTATGCTCACCCTTTCACTAAATTTTACGGAAACGTGTGCTGATTTTATTCGGATTTAGATCCATTTTTATCTCTTTGCCCTTGTACGAAGAACGCGAGTTCACCTTCTTGACGGTAAGGCTTATGTTAGATGTGTTGTCGAAATACTCATATTCATTGTACATTGGTACGTTACAAGTAAGGCACTGGTCAGTGGCATACTATCGTTGGCAGTTCCCAATCTGGAGGGAAAGGTTCAAGGACCCATTGGCCGAGTTTGCAAAATAAATTCGCATACCAGGGAAAATCTCCATTGTGGAGAGGTTCAGTATAACTTGTTTGCTTCATACGAAACAATCCAATGGGTGGAGTCTCGTGAAAATCTCGTACTTGTATGATTGGATTTGTTTACTCGAGTCTGGGCTGTTTGATTTGTGAGTACCGCCGAGATTGCACTGCCCCAAAAGTTTCGTGCCGCCAAAGCAAGAATAACGATCTGCAATCTGTTTGTAGTGTACCTGCAAGAATGTGGAGTACATGTATCGTACTTTCTCTGTTGCTGTTTCAGTTGCCGTCATGTTGCTAAAGAAAGGTTCAGTAGAGAGGTTCTGCAAAACGAAAATTCGAACGAAGTTTCGCGACAGTCCTTGTGAAAGTGTGTACGAATTTTTGCACGAACTTTGCGTTCTGCACAGTTTGCGCGGGCCAAGTGCACGTACACCATGACCCGATCTAACGAAATTATTTCCTACGACAGTTCATTTCGCGTTCCCTGCAAGTTTCGCGTCCAAAGGTGCGAAAGTTCGTGCGAAGTTTCGCACTTCATGATGTAGAGCGAAAGTTTGTACGCATTTTCGTTTTGCAGAACCTCTCTAGTGACTCATTTGTTTCATACGAGACGAGTCAATGAGTCGGTGTGGCTTAGAATCTTTCGCTGAAGAAGAAATCTATTCGTCTGTCTATTGGAGAAATAATTGTATTCACTGGTTATAAAATAGGTTAAGACAAACTCACAGAATAAATACCATCGGTCCCTTGGTGTTCGTCCTAAAGAGTTTCGACTGGATATCATTCATACTCACCAAAAGACGTGTAACATTTTATTATTGTGGAGTGCCTTGTTTATCTCTCAGTACCTCCAACCATAGCCTTGCCCCTTTTATCCTCAGGATCAGTGTAGTTGTTGGAACGAGGTGTCGGACTCAGCAATGTATTTGTTTACATTTTAATACATGTTTATTGTTCCTCCTTTGCTGTGTTGTTTTAGAAAATCGTGGACTAACAGTTTGAAGTCATTGAACTACTTCCAAAAGTTGTATCGACATCAACAGGATTACCATTTCAGTGCAATATGATGCAGGATGACCTTATCACGATAACCCATGATTATAAACCATTATAAACACAGAATCAACAAAAACATCTGCGACACGCACCTGGCTACATTTCTCAAATATATCTGATCGAAGCTGGGGAAATCTGAAATATCTGAAAGGCAAGACAATTTTATGACGGTCATGAAATTCTGCAACAGCAAGCTGCAACATGCACAGAATGACCTCCGTGTAAAAAAAGTATCACCACCAGACCACTACAGCTACTCACATGTTTCCTCGCAGAAGACCATGCATTATGCTAGTGCCATTTTCTGCAAGAAAAGGCTTGCATGCACATCAATGCGTATAATACGGTATTGATATGATGTGAAGGCCATCATTTACATATTGATATAGGGCATTCCATTGATTGGTGACAGAAAAAACAAAAGAAATTATAGCAATAAAAACTGCTTTATGGCAGTTTTCTAAAAAAAGTTATTGTGTTCTAGTCCATGGACGCCGTCTAAAAAGTAAGAAATTAACGAAATGTGATAGCCGAAAATTAAAATTTCACACAAAACCTCACAATAATCACACACAGAATGAAAAGCTACATGTAGAAGACCTTTTTCCCTCGTGATCCTCTTTCCTATGCGTGCATGTTGCCAATTGTTGATGCAGTACAAGTTTAGTGTTGAAAGCAGCATTTCAAGTGTTGTGATTATTGTGAGGTTTTGTGTGAAATTTTAATTTTCGGCTATCACATTTCGTTAATTTCTTACTTTTTAGACGGCGTCCATGGACTAGAACACAATAACTTTTTTTAGAAAACTGCCATAAAGCAGTTTTTATTGCTATAATAATAATTATCATGTCACATGCACGCGCACTAGTGCACTACACGACTACACTGGATCGTACAACACTTGCGCGGCGTGAACCTAATCCTTACAAATGCACGTGCCGGAAGACGTCATTCCACATTGTTCAAACACATGCATGGCCAAAAATGGGGCGTTGCAGAGGCATGCTTCTGGCTCGCCTGACTGCAGATCTACAGCTTTCCTACACTCTCGTAGTCGTAGCCGTAGGTCTACAGACGAGTCAGTGCAAAAGAGTGCAGTTCACGCTGTGAATGTGTCGTGTGAGTCCGCGAGCTGGCACTGTGGCAGTGCAGAGGCCATCGGCATTGCCAACATCAGCTGTTTTCTTTTTCTGCTGCGTTCTTGCTCGCCGTCAGCAGGAAGAAGAAGGTTGCGTCATTTCTCTGCAACTCCAGCTCAAATAAAAGGTAAGCTGCTCGACCCCTGTTGCTCTCTGTTCTGCTTCTGGCCTCAAACGTTTTCCGATTTATCACCCCATTATCCATTTCTATTTTAATATCGTATTTTGGGTTGCAGGCTACTGCGCTGTGTAGAGAGAGACCTTGTCAACTAACTCTCCTTGAGGAATACAAATTATTCAAATTATTTTGTTCTCGTTTTGGTGACGCGAAGAGAAGGGGCTTGAGAAAGAGAGAGCTGGGAGAGAGAACGGGTTCTTTTCCCTCTGGGTTGTAACTTGTTTGGAAATTGTATCTTTACACCCTGGTGTCGTCATACCGTACGTGGTAATTACCTTTTTGGGATCTTTTTCTCTTCTTTCCCTTCGTTCTGGTTCTCGGTTGGTGGTGCTGGTGGCTACGGCACCCACTACTCATACTGGCAGTGCGTGGCACACAGTCGCTCAGAACAGACCAAATTTGAACCATGTCGCGTCCCGGAATGGGTGGCCGTGGGTCGGGCGATGAGCCCAAGAGCCTGTACCGGATTCCCCCCTACTATTACCTCCACGTTCTCGACCAGAACACGAACGTGACCCGCGTGGAGCTCGGTCCCAGCACCTTCATCCGCCAGGACAATGAGAAGGTGGTATTCGGCCCGGAGAAGATGGTCACAGTGCCTCCGCGGCACTACTGCATCGTCGAGAATCCCGTTCTGCGTGATGCCGACAATGCGTTGGTGACGGACAAGAGCGGGCAAATCAAGCTGCGGCATGCCGATCAAGACATCCGCCAGGCGCAAGACCCGTTCCCGCTGTACCCCGGCGAAGTGCTGAAGGTGCCGGTCAAGCCGCTCACCGTGGTCAAGGCCAACTCTGCGCTGAGAATTCGCGCTATCCTGGATTTCACCACCGACGATGATGTTCGTCGTGTAGCGGGTGACGAGTGGCTGTTCGAGGGACCAGGTGAGTCTGTAGTTGAGAATCTTCGTTCCTAGGCTCTCCTCGTTTAATATTGTTTTTAGTATTCAAATAATGGTTATTGTACAAGCGCTTTATAGTCACTGCTGCAAGTATTGTTAGTTTTCCAACTACCTGCTTTAGCAGCTATACCATGCAGCGCTGATCCGGAATTTCGGAATATTTGCTTGAATTCGATCGTTAGCCAATAGCTAGCGATATAACACCGCTAGTCATTTTTTGTAAGTGGTTGTCAAAGTCGTTGGTTTCTCATGGGTGTCTCTCTTTCAGTGTTTGATTGATTTTCGATTTAAGTTATAATATATGAAGAGCACTACGTCAGTAACTAAAAGTAGAAGTCGGACATCCCCCCCCCCGTCCTTGCGACTGCTGATGTATTGTGATCGTTGTTTTGTGGTTTTCTTGTTGACGATGTGCAGGTACGTACATCCCACGCAAGGAGGAAGAGGTTGCAGAGACCATCCTTGCCTCCGTCATCCTGCCCAACCAGGCACTGAAATTGCGCGCACGCAAGGAAACTAAGGTACGGAAGAGAGAATTTCCTGTGTGTGTGTGTGCGTGCGTGCGTGTGTGCATATGTAAAAGCGAGTGATCATGGGTCGTAGGGTGTAGCTGTGTTGGGTTGGGTTCACATCGCAAGTTGGCATGTGGCGAGTGTGTAGTCCTAACCAGGCATGCCAATTGAACACCTGTTGCTGTTGTTGTTGCGTATGGTTGTTCTTATTGTTGGTGTGCTCTGCTGCTGCTGCTGGTGCTGCAGGACCGCGAGGGCACAGAGCGTGTGACCGGTGAGGAATGGCTGGTCAAGAAGGTCGGTGCCTACTTGCCCGGTGCCTACGAGGAAGTCGTCGACGTCTGCAACGCTCACGTTCTCACCGAGAAGAAGGCACTGCACATGCGTGCCAAGCGTACCTTCACCGACGACAAGGGAGTGACGCATCGCAACGGCGAGGAATGGCTAATCAAGTTCAGTGACACAGAGACACACATCCCAGGTGTGTACGAGGAGGTTGTGCGCGTGATTGATATCCAGACGCTGAACAACCGCCAGTACTGTGTCATCGAGGACCCGGCCGATGAGGATGGCAAGCCGCAGCTTGGGCAGCGCAAGCTGGTCAAGGTATGTGTGTACTGGTGTGTGTGTGTGTCCGTGTCGGTGTTTGTGTGTGTCGGTGTCCGTGTTTGTGTGTGTCAGTGTCTGCGTGTGCACATGAGTGTTTGTGTAAATCCGCATTTCATTTTTGTGTACCTGTGCTTTATCCTGAAAACCGTACTCGCTTACCCCACTCTCCCCCCCCCCCCCCCATCCTTCTTCTTTTACACTCATGTTCTTTCTTTCTGCTTGTTGTCACTTGCTTTTGTCTGACAGGGTGAGAAATCATTCTTCCTGCTGCCCGGTGAGAAGCTTCAACGTGGTATCCAGGACGTGTTTATCTTGGGTGAGGATGAAGGTCTCATTCTGCGTGCCACCGAAGGATTCACGGATGCCATTGAGGTGAGAGAGCGAGCGCCCAGAGCGCGTGTTGTGTGGATTTTGAGCAAGATTAGAGCGGATGTTGAGCGTGTGTTTGTCAATTTTGAGCTAGCATAGAGTGGATGTTGAGCGTGTGTTATGTGGATTTTGAGCTACCATAGAGCAGCTTTTGAGCAGAAATTGTTGAGCAAACATTGTTGAGCACATGTTGGGTACGTTGCCCACCTTCCCGTAATATTTCGTCACTACTTCAAGTATATCTATGTTCGTCTTGTTTGTGCGTATATGCGTGCGTGTGTATGTGTGCACGCGTGCGTGTGTGTTCTCTTTGTGTTTCTATGTTTCAGAGCACACAGCGTCGCCCTGGTGATCGCTGGATGATCCGTGGCCCATGCGAGTATGTGCCACCGGTGGAGGTGGAGGTGACGGCGCGCCGCAAGGCTATCCCTCTGGATGAGAACGAGGGTATCTACGTCCGCGATGTCAAGACCGGAAAGGTAACGTCTGTTCACGTGTGTGTGCGTGCGTGTGTGTGGTGTGTGTGCGTGTATGCGTGTGTGTGCGTGCGTGTGTGTGTGTGTGTGTATGACTTCATTATCATAGTGTAGCTACATGTACAGTTGTTTGGCTTGCTGACCCACTCTGCCTTACTCTTTTTGCCATAGCAGAGCTGATTTGTGCATGCTTTGCAGCTGCAATTTGTTCCTTCGTGTTTTTTAATTATGTGCTCGCCTGCGTGTGTGCATGCATGTGTGTGTATGTCTAACTAGGTACGTGCCATCATCGGAAAGACATACATGCTGACACACGACGAGGAGCTGTGGCAGAAGGAGCTTCCTCCGGCCGTCGAGACATTGCTTGCATCCGGTCGTGACCCGTTGGCCGATCGCAGCGATCGCAGCAAGTCAACAGCGGGTATGTACTGTATTCGCCTATAAATTCCTGCCTATGCTGCACACGATAGTGGAATAGCACCTACATGGTTATTGGTAGTACAGTCAGACATGCTCGCTTAACCACACACATCCGTTTTCCACAAAACAAATATCCGGATAGGCAAGGGAGCCGGATAATCGAACACGCATCCTGTATGTATGCATGGCATGTGCTGTAAATCGGTAACCAACGATTTTCTTCCGGATGGCGGGGGATCCGGATAAAAGAGGACCGGATAAACGAGGTCTAACTGTATAGCTACACTCGATGCCACGAAGGAATCCAACTCACACTTGAGCTCACACCTCCCGGAGCTTATGCTATGTGGTTTGCCAAGATGTGAGCCATACACAGCCACTTCTCGGGGGGAACATTTCTTTACCAAAATCATAGTTGCACGAGGAGGAGTTTTTTTGCCTTGCTGTGTTTTGCTGACGATGCCCTTTATTTCACAATGCCCAGATTCCAAGCGTGACAAGACGAAGGTGATCACGTATCGTGTGCCTCATAACGCTGCCGTACAGATTTATGACTACAAGCAGAAGAAGGCCAGGTAAGAGTGAGAGAGAACACGAACACCATGCCGTCTAATGTTGATGTGATGCTCCTGCTGCTGCTGCTGTTCTTGTGGTCGCTGCTGCTGCTGCTGCTGTTGTTGTTGTTGTGGTCGCTGCTGCTGTTGTTGTTGTTGTTGTGGTCGCTGCTGCTGCTGTTGTTGTTGTGGTCGCTGCTACTGCTATTGTTGTGGTCGCTGCTGCTGCTGCTGCTGCTTCTGCTGTTGTTGTTGTTGTTGTTGTTGTTGTGGTCACTGCTGCTGTTGTTGTCGTTGTGGTCGCTGCTTCTGCTGTTGTTGTGTTTGCTGCTGCTGCTGTTGTTGTGGTCGCTGCTGCTGCTGTTGTTGTGGTCGCTGCTGCTGCTGTTGTTGTTGTGGTCGCTGCTGCTGTTGTTGTGGTCGCTGCTGCTGTTGTGGTCGCTGCTGCTGTTGTTGTGGTCGCTGCTGCTTCTGCTGCTGCTGCTGTTGTTGCTGTTGTTGTTGTTGTTGTTGTTGTTGTGGTCGCTGCTGTTGTTGTTGTCGTTGTGGTCGCTGCTGCTGTTGTTGTGGTCGCTGCTGCTGTTGTTGTGGTCGCTGCTGCTGTTGTTGTGGTCGCTGCTGCTTCTGCTGCTGCTGTTGTTGTTGTTGTTGTTGTTGTTGTTGTTGTTGTTGTTGTTGTTGTGGTCGCTGCTGCTGTTGTTGTGGTCGCTGCTGCTGTTGTTGTGGTCGCTGCTGCTGTTGTTGTGGTCGCTGCTGCTGTTGTTGTGGTCGCTGCCCCCTCACACCCGTCCCTACCCTCCTTTGGCTAGAACCCTGACATGGTGTTGGCCAACTGTTTAACTTGTGCTCTCTCTCTCTCTCTCTCTCTCTCTCTCTCTCTCTCTCTCTCTCTCTCTCTCTCTCTCTCTCTCTCTCTCTCTCTCTCTCTCTCTCTCTCTCTCTCTCTCTCCCACACACACACACACACACACACACACACCAGGGTTGTGTTTGGACCAGAGTTGGTCATGTTGGACCCTGACGAGCAGTTCACACAGCTCAGCCTCTCCGGCGGCAAGCCCAAGCGTCCAAACGTGATCAAGTCACTGTGCCTGCTGCTTGGACCGGACTTCTGCACCGACATCATCACAATTGAGACGTCGGATCACGCCCGTCTTCAGCTGCAGCTCAGCTACAACTGGCACTTCGAGGTGGACACGAGCAGCAAAGAGCAGGCCGCCAAGCTCTTCTCCGTACCAGACTTTGTCGGCGACGCTTGCAAGGCCATTGCGTCGCGCGTCCGTGGTGCCGTTGCCGGTGTGCAGTTTGATGACTTCCACAAGGTATGAATAACCGACGTGCGGAGACAATAGTTTCCGTTGTGCGATGAATACTCTTTGTGAGGGGCGGCGGACATTGTTCGGTGTGTGTTGTACTGGTTGCAAGTGATAAGCTACACGCATGTGCGCCTTTCCATACCCGTATGAGCACACCACACACCACGGTCCTCATCCCGTACATGGTTGCTTTGTCTCGTGCTACTTTATTTACCAAAGACCAAACGAATCAAAGCACTCAATAAGAAACGGAGTGTATTCTTTATTATATAACGGGTAAGCAGCAGCAGCATGTGGCCCTGTACTGGCTGGAGAGCGCAGTTCAGGTTTGGTGGCTGATGACAAATCTGTACGAAGTGGGTTCACATCTGTCACGTGACCAGACCGGACGGCCATGTTGGTTCCAACTCCACACACTCCACACAAGCCCTTGCATCTATGGGTCACATCAAGAGTACATAACCCTCAAGAGTGTGCAACTCCAGCTATGGGGTCTGCGACGGCAGAACTTCACATCACGTGATGAACCCGTACACATTATTTGCACTCTGTGCATGATAGATACAGGGTTGTACGCAGCCCAGCTTTGGGTACAACTCTCTTGTGGTCACTTTGCACTGTTTGCCAGCATAACCTTTTGAACCATGTCACGTGATGTGAAGTTCTGCCGTCGCAGCACACCATAGAGGTTGTGCAGGCAGTTGCACACTCTTGGGGTTATGTACTCTTGGTCACATGATGTCGGCCATGTTGGTTCCAGTGTCCACATGTCCTGATCACTTTCTGCACAGATTTAGTCACATGACAAACTGATGCGAAACCACTCTATTCTTTCCCCCCCCCCCCCCCGTTTGTCGTAGAACTCCGCACGCATCATCCGTACTTTACCAATAATTACCAAACGAACCAAAACACTGAATGTTATGGAATGTATTCTGTACCCCCCTCCCCGTTTGCCCATCGCTGGGGAGCGCAGTTGTGGTATGGTGGTTGATGAGAAATCTTTATTCTTTGTCCCCCTGTGTTTGTGGTAGAACTCCGCGCGCATCATCCGTGCGTCCGTCTTCGGCATTGATGAGAACAAGAAGGTACGCGATCGCTTCACGTTCCCGTCCAACAACCTCGTCATCACCAGTATCGATATCCAGTCGGTGGAACCAGTTGATCAGCGTACGCGTGACTCGCTGCAGAAGTCCGTTCAGCTCGCCATTGAGATCACCACCAACTCGCAGGAAGCTTCAGCAAGGTAAGAATGATGAATATCCCTGTGGCTTCAGCTAGACATGTGTACATGTCCCTGTAGCTTCAGCTAGGCATGTGTGAGTGTCTGAGTAGCTTCAGCTAGGCATGTGTGAGTGTCTGAGTAGCTTCAGCTAGGCATGTGTGAGTGTCTGAGTAGCTTCAGCTAGGCATGTGTGAGTGTCTGAGGAGCTTCAGCTAGGCATGTGTGAGTGTCTGAGGAGCTTCAGCTAGGCATGTGTGAGTGTCTGAGTAGCTTCAGCTAGGCATGTGTGAGTGTCTGAGTAGCTTCAGCTAGGCATGTGTGAGTGTCTGAGTAGCTTCAGCTAGGCATGTGTGAGTGTCTGAGTAGCTTCAGCTAGGCATGTGTGAGTGTCTGAGTAGCTTCAGCTAGGCATGCATACAAGTCTGTGTGGCTTCAGCTAGGCATGCATACAAGTCTGTGTGGCTTCAGCTAGGCATGCATACAAGTCTGTGTGGCTTCAGCTAGGCATGCATACAAGTCTGTGTGGCTTCAGCAAGGTATGCATGCATTGTCTCAGTACAGTATCATCTCTGCCAGAAAACTTACTAGTACATGTGTTGACCCCTGTTGTATCCATTCGCTGAGCAGATATGTGAAGTAATTTTCTTTCCCCTGCGATCTGAAAGTGGTTTCCTAACTTGTTTGCTGCGCTGCTGTGTTTATTATTACTGCTGCTGCTGCCTTTGTTCAGACACGATGCTGAGCGCCTGGAGCAGGAGGCCAAGGGACGTCTCGAGCGCCAGAAGATCACGGACGAAGCGGAGGCTGAGCGCTCTCGCCGAGACCTGCTCTCCCTTCAGGCCGAGAGTGCTGCCGTGGAGAGCACTGGACAGGCCAAGGCTGAGGCACACTCGCGCGCCGAGGCTGCGCGTATCGAGGGAGAGGCTGCAGTCGAACAGGCGCGCCTCAAGGCAGAGGCCAGCAGGATTGAAGCCGTAAGTCCCGGTGATAGCAAAGAGTTACACTAGGAATTTAGGTTTTTGGTGCATGTGTGTGTACGTGTGTGGTGGTGATGGTGATGGTGGTGGTGGTGTGTGCGTGTCCACCCAGAGTTTGGGAGTTCAGTGAGTGTCGGCCGTTGGGCGGTTCAATAGCCAGTTGAGTCATCTTTCTATGATTCCTTTTCAGTCTCTCTCCCCTCTCCTGGGGAGACCCACGTAGCCAATTTTGGCAGGGAGCAGGTGCACGTGTGTGTGTGTGTCCTAACTTCAAAACTCTCTCTCTCTCTCTCTCTCCCGTGTCTCTCCACTACAGGAATCCGAGCTGGAACGCCTTGGCAAGGCCCGTGAGGCCGAGCTCAAGTACCTGCGAGAGCAGAACGACTTGGAGGTGACCAAGGAGCGCGAGATTGCCGGCATCGAGACCAAGAAGTTCCAGGAACAGGTGGGCGCCATCGGCAAGGACACGATCCGCTCGATCGCTGTGTCCGGCCCCGAGACACAGGTCAAACTGCTGCAGTCTCTGGGCTTGCAGACGACTCTGATCACAGACGGAAACAGCCCCATCAACCTGTTCAACACGGCGCAGGGCCTGGTCGGAGGAAACGTTCTCAAGAGAAAGCACATGGAGGGCGGTGCTGAGGAAGAGTAGGCACGTAATAGTAGTAGTTGCCATGCCGCTGGTTGTTGTTGTCTTTAGGCTACTATTTGTGAATGTATGGGCTCTCGAGATGGCCATGTCCATTCACCGTCCGTCCATCGTCCATTCTCAGGACTGATTACCTCCCGTCCTTGCTCACTTTCTCTTTCTTCTCCGTTCGTCCATCGTCCACTCTTATGGTTGATTACCCTCTCTCCTTCCTCACTTTCTCCTTGGTGATAGTGACAGTGTCGCCGTGTAATGTTCGGCACACGTCCTTTCATTCCCGTCTCTAGCTAAGCGCCGTGTGTGTGTGCGTGTATGCATGCACTTTTTTACTCAGTCCCTGATGAAATTAGAGATAGCGAAAGCAATATCCTTTGCGCCACCGCCGCAGCTCAGTATTTTTTGGATATTTTCTTCTTCTTCTTCTTGACATTTCCTTTACCCTTGCGCGCTCTTTCTGCGAGTTCTGCGCCAGTTTCCGTGTTAGCAAATTCATGAAAATAGCCTTTTTCGGATACATTACAGGTTGAGGAAGTTTTAAAAACTTTAAAGAAATGGACAATCATGCCGTTGCGTGCTTGACATTCACCCCGCCTTCCTCTCCTCTGATATCTACTAGTTGTTTTTGAAATGAAAGCTTACCAGACTCGATCAGCGTAGTGTGTGCGGCGGGTGTGTGCATGCACGCGTGTATGGGAGTAGGTGCGCGCGTTGCTGTCCAAGGGAGTTTGCGACCTGGGGTCTTTGCTCGTGGTGTCAATCACCTACATGTTGTATATTACCAGTTACATTATCTGTATGTGTCTGTTTCCCTGCACCATCCACAGGCCAACACCAATAGCTTGTGGAGTAGCATCTGGTGCAGTGGCGGCCACTAGATTAGATGCTCTTATAATCTGTAGTGTGATTCCACCGCATACCTACGTTGTTCTCAAGCATGCATTGTGTGACTAACATAACACTAACAAAAAAAGGGCCGTTTCGTTCTTATAAAAGCACGGACGACCGCGAGTGGTTCATACATAATAATATTATGTAGTAGTCTTTTGGACACGGACTGGTTTTGGTCCAAAAAGGCTGCGGTGCAGCGTTCGGCCCATATTCCCAATCGAACACGGGTGAGTAAGCGGTCACGTGCTCATGCCTACACTAGTCTAGTCACCATGGCCACCTGGCCACTGTGCCTGCACTGCAGGCTACAACGTTTACAGCGTTCAACTACTTCCTGTCACTCGAGTTGAATCTCTGAGTTGAACCTTGGTGTGAAAGTTGTAACCTGCAGGGACGGTGACAAGGTGACTAGTGTACGCATGACCACGTGACCGCTTACTCACCCGGGTTCGATCGGGAATAAAGGCCGAACGCTGTGTCGCAGCCTTTTTGGGACCAAAACCAGTCGACTCAGCGTCCAAAAGAGTACATGTACAACATAATATGAACCAATGGCGGTCATCCGTGCTTTTATAAGAACGAAACGGCACTTTTAGTGACATTTTGCATACAAATCCCCATCTAGTAGGGCGCAGTCACCCAGTTTCGGTGGAAGTGCGCGAGTTCGATTGGGATTCAAGTAGGAAGGGAAAGTCACAGCTTCCTCGGACCAAGACCATTCGACTCAGCACCCCGAACACTATAATACTGTAGAACGGGTAATTTTAGCGACGTAAAAACCCTAGCAAATTTAGCGATCTACTGATTTTCGCTAAAGTTTCAAGTCGCTAATCCGTTGAGACATTAGTACTCGTAGTGCACTGGTGATCCATGAGTAAAATCGCTGCAAATCGCTAAAATAAAACGTCGCTATTAACCGGTTGACAATGAGAAAACGCTAAAATTAATGAGAAAACGCTAAAATTAATGGGAAAACGCTAAAATTACCCGTTCTACAGTATCCACGCAATCCTCGGACACCTGCACGGCAGGGCCGGCTCGGCCGGGACTCCCAGTCCCTGCTGCTACCGTGACGGTCCTGTTTCGATCAGGGAGTAGTATTTTTACTACTCCCTGGTGTTGATCTTCTTCCTTTGGTCTTGGTGACATGTAGTGATTGCGACCTGCTGGTCCAGGTCGACAAAGTATAAAGGTGCTGTGAAGCCGACCTGTGACCACTGAACAATACACTGTACACACTGTACACACACACATGCAGAGAGTTCTAGCACATGCAGAGAGTTCTAGCACATGCAGAGAGTTCTAGCACATGCAGAGAGTTCTAGCACATGCATCCAGGAGACGGGATTCTGATGAGCACGAGCGCATCCAGAGGTTACTGCAGAACGGCTAATTTTGGCGGGTAATTTTTAAGCATTTCTGAATCCGGACCAATTCGCGATGAAATATTTTAGCGATCCGACTTTCGGAGTTTAGACACAAGGATGATTACCGGTACATTGACTACAGTAGTCCTGAGTCATACAGGCAACATTTCGATTGGCGTGGCCACACTTCAGCGAAAACACTCCTTTCGCTAAGATCGCTAAAATTAACCGTTAGTAGGCGATGACTAGGTCGTAAAATGAATACGGTATTTTACAACTCCCTGACGACAACATCGTCAATTGAGAGATGCTGTGGCAAAGTCGCGGCTCAGCAACTCGCTACCCCAAGCGCAACCAGAATCGCAGACTCGGCCTGTGTACTTGCTAATTAGCGGCCATAAACAAAACTGCTAGTTCACCACCATGACATCATCGTATAACCTCAGGCAGCACTCAGGCTCTATACTTTTGTAGTGCATGACATCATCGCAATGCAAACAGTGACGTCATCGCAATGCAAACAATAGAAAAGATCAACATGAAGCAATAATGAAGGGCGCTAAGCAGTTGTGCAGTATCGATCCATGCACCCCTTACTGCTGCATGTGTAGCCCAAACTGCATATTCTACAGAGATTGGCGACTGGACCATGCAAGATAGCTGCTCAAGGTGTATCTAATCATGAGTCCACAGCACCCATGCATACAAGAGCTCATTTTCAACCATGGTTGCTACCTGAGGACATCACAGAAGCACAAGTTGAAAAGTGAGGCGACAAAGTGCTGAGAGAGAGAGAGAGAGAGAGAGAGAGAGAGAGAGAGAGAGAGAGAGAGAGAGAGAGAGAGAGAGAGAGAGATATACAGAAAGAGAAAGAGACACAGAAAGAGACACAGAGAAAAGGGACACCGCAGTAATGCAAACGTACACATCCTTCCGCCGAGCCTTCAGCCACTCATGCAAGGTACGCTGCACACAGCAGCAGCATCAACGTGCCCACAACTACACCGCACACAGCGGCAGTATCAACGTGTCCACTATCCTGCATGTGTTATTAAGCACAGGTGCTCTATTGATGGTGGCAGGCTCAAGCCAGCAGCTAGCTAGGTCTCGGTGACAGTGGCTATGGAGCTGGCATAGCCGGCATAGCTGTGGGACTGCCATACGGATCAGCAGCAGTTGGTGTGGGTGAAGTCAGACGGGAGCAGAACGATGATGATGTCTCTGCATCAGATTGGCATGGATAAAAGAGGGAAAAGCAATGGTGGCGTCTTTTAAGTTGGGGATATTTTTCTAAATGATAGGAATAATCACCGTTCAAGGTTCCATGTTAATATTAGGAAGGCATTCGAATAGTGTATCATCACCAACACCACTAACACCAGTAAACCGCCGCCGCCACCACCACCACCACCACCACCACGACCACCACGACCACCACGACCACCACCGCCACGGCCACCGCCACCGTCACCGCCACGACCACCACGACCACCACGACCACGACCACCACGACCACCACCACCACGACCACCACGGCCACCACGGCCACCACGACCACCACCACCACGGCCACCGCCACCGCCACCGCCGCCACCACCGCCACCACCGCCACCACCGCCACCACGACCACGACCACCACCACGGCCACCACGACCACCGCCACCGCGACCGCGACCGCCACCGCCACCGCCACGGCCACCGCCGCCACCACGGCCACCACGACCACCACGACCACCACGACCACCACCGCCACGCCACCGCCACCGCCACCGCCGCCGCCACCACGACCACCGCCACCGCCACCGCCACCGCCAGCACCAGCACGACCACCAGCACCAGCACCAGCACCACCGCCACCGCCAGCACCAGCACGACCACCACCACCAGCACCAGCACCGCCGCCACCGCCGCCACCACCACCACCACGACCACCACGACCACCACCACCACGACCGCCACCGCCACCGCCAGCACCAGCACCAGCACCAGCACCCCGGCGCCGGCACCGCCGCCGCCGCCGCCGCCGCCGCCGCCACCACCACCACCACCACCGCCACCACCACCACCACCACCACCACCACCACCACCACCACGACCACCACCACCACCACCACCACCACCACCACGACCACCACCACCACCACCACGACCACCACCACCACCACCACCACCACCACCACGACCACGACCACCACCACCACGGCCACCACCACGGCCACCACCACGGCCACCACCACCACCACCACCACCACCACCACCACCACGGCCACCACCACGGCCACCACCACGGCCACCACCACCACCACCACCACCACCACCACCACCACCACCACCACCACCACCACCACCACGACCACGACCACGACCACGACCACGACCACGACCACCACCACCACCACCACCACCACCACCACCACCACCACCACCACCACCACCACCACCACCACCACCACCACCACCACCACCACCACCACCACCACCACCACCACCACCACCACCACCACCACCACCACCACCACCACCACCACCACCACCACCACCACCACCACCACCACCACCACCACCACCACCACCACCGCCATCAACAACACCACCACCACCACCACCACCACCACCACCACCACCACCACCACCACCACCACCATCACTAACACCAGCTCCAGTAGCAACATAGGCACCGCTTCCTCCGCCCACGCACACTTCATGGTAGGGGAGACACAGGATGTGATTGATATACCATAAAACACACACACACACGCACACATGGACACACATACACACACACACACACACACACACACACACACACACACACACACACACACACACACACACACACACACACACACATACACACACACACACACACACACACACACACACACACACACACACACACAATTGATTGACATACCTTGCTTCCAAGCAGTGAAAAGTCGCCTCCATTCAGCAAGGTCATTCAGCCAACCGTTATCTGTGCCAGAGCATACACACATGCCCACACACACACGCACGCACACGCGCGCGCGCACACACACACACACAACCGCATGCACACCCCGTCATTACCAAATACACAACAAATGCAGTCACATTCGAAAACCAGTAAGTCTATAGGGAACCGGATACGAAGACAGGCAAAGAAAAGACAATCAAGGAATGTGTGAGGCTCAGATCGAGTTCTATGAATCCGCAGGAATGCAACCACCCTCAGGGATGAAAGTGCAGACACAGCTCCTAAAGCGGTGGCAGGTCAGGACAGAAGAGAGCAAAATCCACCGTTCGCGTGATACTCAGTCAGACGGAGTGATTCGCATCCGTACAAATGCCACCATCCTCAAGCAACACGGCGTACGTACGTATGTTCTAAAGCGGCGTGAGGTGAGTAGATCACACCCACCACCACAGTGGAGAAAAACGAAAATCCCATTCTCTAGAGAAAAGAGCAGGTACTTTATTCTATTTTAAACTCAGATGGAAAGTCAAGGAATAAAATTAAAAAAGAGGGGACCAAAAGTTTACAAGTTATCCGTTTTGTCCAACACTCAACAGTATCCTGCTTATAATCGTTCGTGTTGGACAACACAGATAACTTGTGAACTTATGGTCCTCTCTTTTTATGGTTGATAAATATGGTGGTAAAGACACACCTGGCAATATGGCGGTAAACACACGCTCTCTAGGCTGCAAAGTTCTGGCACAGAGCTCTCCTTCCTCTCTTTTTTAATTTTATTAATTTTTATGTATACAATAAATGAGGAGGCCGAGGGTTTATGACCAATAAAAACTATTATAAAAACCGAGGTCCCCCGAGGTTTTTATAATTAGTTTTTATTGGTCATAAACCCAAGCCCGGAGCATTTATTGTATTTAGAATCAACCAGTAAAAACTCCTACTCAATCTCCAACAACAAAATTAGTGGACAGCTGTTATTTGTGTTGCTATGACAACTCGTGTGCTGGACGAGTATTTGTTGTCATTGGTTCAATTTCTTTTACTCTTCATAGGCTATCAGATCATTTTCCTTATTCGTTCTATTTATACCCAGTATCTATAATGAGAGTGTGGTCTGCCTCCATGGTTACCGGTGTTCATTTCATAACTATAGCCACTTCTCCTTGTTAGACCTTATCTGGAAGGCCCATTCTTGCATATTCCAACAGCAGCCAAGGGAGCTAGCTCTCTTGGTTATGCGGACTGGGTCCGATCCTAAAAAGCTGTTTTATGAACTGTTTTTATTGGAGAGGATATGATTATGTTGAATAAACGAGGTTTGTGTCAATGGGAGATTGACTTGGAGTTTTTATGAGTTGATTCTAAACCTTAATAAATTTTATACAAGAGACACGAACCATCATGGTGTTGCGAGCGGACCCAAAGATGCATGGCACATCCCAACATGAAAATGCACACAAGACACAACATGAATACAGTACATGTACTGTCGGGCGTCGAGGAACGGAGCGCCGAAGAACGGAGCGCCGAGGAACGGAGCGCCGAAGAACGGAGCGCCGAAGAACGGAGCGCCGAGGAACGGAGCGCCGAAGAACGAACAGGCGAGGATTTCACCAAGCACAGCATACCAATGTATACACGGTAACTCAACTGCACATAGACTGTTCTCTCTCACACCTCACATTTGCCACAGCAAAACCACAGTGCAGGGTCGGCTGCGGACAGGCACATTGCAAGACAAAAAGATTCTTCAGGCACCAACACTTCTGTATGTCATGATATCTTTTCCAGTTCTGCTGTTGTTCTTGTTTTACTTACAATCTGTTGGTGAAGGACACTGGGGAGGTTGCCCTGTTGCAGGTGTGTCCGTGTGTGGTGGTGCAGCCGTGGGCATTTGGGTAGCAGTCGTAGGCAGAAAGTCATTGCACGTCATTGGGGAGCTGGACACTAGAACAAGAAGTGAGCAGACAACACAACAGAACACATTCCTTGTCTTACCATTCAAGAGCTGCTGTTACACTGGGGCATAGCTGATCCCCCTTTTAGGGGGGGGGCGGGGGCGTAGCAGGTCCCCCTTTTAGAATAGCGGGGGGGGGGGGGGGGGGAGTACGTCTGTATATGTGTAGATTGGCTGGTGCATGTTATTCATGGTCATTATGTGCATGCTGAAACTAGGTCGAATTGTTTAGAGGGGGGGGGGGGGGGGGGGGGGGGGTGCACGCACCACCCGTGCCCCATGCGGGCTACGCACCTGATTGTAGTTTGGTGGACTCTAAGCAAGGTACGTTCGGGCCTGGTTAAATCTGGCTTGGGAATTTATTTCATTGCTATCAGGTTCGGCCTCATTTTCTCTGTGCTGCCCTGATGAGTCCACAAAGGACGAAACAGTTCTGTCCGCAGATTGAGTGGACTCTAACACATAACTTGTGCCCCGGTGGTTTTAGCACTGAGAAAAAGGACACACTTCACTTCAGGCTCTTCGACATCATCTCGAAAGTTTTCACTATTATACTTTCAAGCCTTATAGTCAGGTGAAATACAGGAAAAATCAAATGAACAAGGACACTTGTTTCTCAGTGTTATTGCATTCTTGTCTCCGAGGAAACTGCAATGAGTCTTCACAATTCTACAGAACAGTTCATATTATTTCCTTTGTCAGACACGATAAAAGAATGACCATTCCTGCAAGCTCTCTACATCAACAGGTGGGATTAGTTCTATTGACCACTGTAAAATATATTGGAGCACAATGCGTAAAACCGGCATGCGTCCATCAACCACAAGACATATCCGGATGAAAATAAGCCAACGAGTGCAAAAGCACATTATGCTTACATGGGTGAGTGCAGAGATCAAACCATCAACCATAAGGCATATCCAATTTTTCGACATCACAAATAGAGAATATTTTATCCAGCGCATGCGCCGAGTGTGAATAGCAACTGAATAGAGCGGTTGTCTGTTGACAAACCTTTTGGCATATCCGGATGAAAATAAGGCAACGAGTACAAAATCCCATTATCCTTACTTGGGTGAATACAGAGGTCAAAGCGCCCTCTAGCTCCGAATCGGTACACTCCGCTTCGTCCAGTCTGCATCCAGTAAACTTGAACATATCCGCTATTTTCCAGATTATTCAAATTCATTATAAGGCCCTGACCACCACTTCCACCGTCCTCGTTGCCGTACATCCAGTGGTAACCACGGGTTACGTGGATCGGCACACGCGTCTGAAGCTGACGAACGATCTGTGTTAGCGAGCACGTGCTGTAGTTGACGTTGCCGGGGCATGCTGCACGTGGACACACACACACACACACACGAACACACACACACACACACACACACAAACAAGGAGACGTTACGTCATGTCGACGGTGTCTGTGTAGAACTGTCGGTGCATGGAGAAACGGTCGCTAAGAGCATGTGGTCGCTAAACACAGAAGTCGCTTACACCAGGTTTTACTGTAGAGCCGGACTGTACTACAATCACAAACTGTTGCTTCATTTAATGCTCAGCAAAGTGACATTGGTCATGATCAGTTCACACACGTTCTCGACACACTTTGAAGGTCTCCAATGACCACCAGCACAGCACTGTCGGGTGGCGAATAATGTAGCGCCGATGAACAAACACGCTAGAATTTCACGAAGAACAGCATACGGTTATATGTGACGCGGTGACTGCACTGCGCATAGACTGCTATAAATAGAAATAAGAACGCTGACACCCCCCCCCCCCCCCCCCCCCACTCCAATTATTCTAATAAGGGTCTAGAGGTGTATAAGGGTCTGCTACTTGAACACATCCTGTCAATGGCGTCCCAGTGCTAAAGGCATGTATGCACGGACAAAATGAACCACGTCCTTCTCCGGGCTAAGCTTACCGGAAGGCAGCTGTCCAGGTCCTCTCGGGTCTGATATCATACACAACAACAACAACAACAACATCAACAACAAACTGCTCAGTACATCTATAGCCCCATTGTGCCCAGCCCACGTGATAAACTCTTTATTACCATCGCTACTAACTTATTTCAGCAAGCAGCTAAACTTTGATCTCTCTGTATCCGATCCCCGTGCCTGTAATTCTTTTTCTCTTATTGGCCACAGGACATCGTGAGAATAAAAAGATTCGAAACAAGAACAAGTATCACTAAGCTGTGAACAGTACCATTCGCCTGTTGAATAATACAACAAACTCTCCTCCTCCATGCGAGCCATGCAAAACGTTAGCAGCTTGTGATTGGACCAATGCAGTTTCTCACCTGCTATCTTTCCTTGAACCCTGGGCACTGCGTGCTGCTTTGAGAACATTCTTGTAACTTCTCAGTGGGTATGAGTTGCACTGGAATATCAGCCTCGGCCAGATTTTCATCCCCAAATCAGTGGCATCGGAACCGGTGCGGAAAATAATATCATCTTGCGACATTTTGAAGCAATTGAATATGGGCCATTCAGGGCCAATTTCCCAAAGATTTTTCCGGGGAGAACTCCCGGACCCTCCACCTATTCATAGCCGCACCGGTGCCGAGTACCTTCCGACGTCCCTGGAAATGCAGACTTCTACCCTGTATACAGTACTATCTCTAATATAAGCACTATTAGAGATAATACGGTATCCCAATTCATTTTTTGTCGTACTTTGTGACAGTCGAATTGTCTCAGTGTTACTAGTTATCGTTAGCTTACTGGTTTGCTGTTTGAATCTGCGTTTGGTTTATTTATTGTTTATCTGACACGTCTTTTCTGTGTCTTTTGTTTGGTTGACGTCATGAGGTCCCATGGCTACGCGGCTCAGTCGCGGATCCTTCTGCAGAGCTGGCTACTTTTTCGGTTGCTTTTGGATTCCTTATTTGATGCATGTAAATTAGTGTAGATTAGTGTAGTACGTTGGCGTCGTTTGCGCTGCTGTGGGTGCTTTGTAGGCGCACGTGTATGTGCACGTTCCGCTGAGGAGAGCATTTTGGCTTTCGCTTGCGCTACTTGTTTCTTCGATATTTTCCTTTTCTAGTTAGTTGTTGTTCCTTCCGTGATGGACGGATAGTTTTCTTTCTCTCTTGTTTCACCTGTATCATATTGTTCCTGTATCCTGTAAATATCCCAAACTGAGTTGTGTGAGCTTGTTGTCGGTTGGATCAAATTACGGCGATCACGCCAGGATAGATACGCTGTTTGGATCCAGTGGCGCTTACAGGAAGTGGCCACGATGCTCGAGGAGAGAACCAGTGAGGGCGCAGGATACTCGGCAGAGTCCGCGGGGGGACTGCTGTTGGAGGAGCGGTTACTGCGAGTTGGTAAGGCCCTGGGTTTCGAGGGGAGCCGACTCGCGCAGTACGTGGAGAAAAAGGTGAAGGAGGTCAACGCTCGAAGGGAGCAGGCTATCCAATGGGAGGAGGCGCGTGCTCAACGGGGGCATGCGTTCCGAGCGGCCGAAGCGGAGTTGCGAGGGGAGCGCTCTGCGGCGGAGGCTGCGTCTACTTGTGGACTAGTGGACAGCAGTGCTGTGGGAGTAATGCCAGTCCCAAGTACAAGTACCAGGATTACGTTTCCAATGTACAAGGAAATAACGGTTGTGTTTGACCAAGAGGCGCGTGGACGACGAGCGTCAGTGGAGAATCGGTCCGTCGCTCCAACAACCCAGCACAGTGGACAGTGCTTTGGAGTGTCAGCCATGGATACGGCTGAGGTTGAGACGGAAATGAAGGTCGTCAATGGCAACAGCGCATTGGACACAAAAGCCGGATGCACTGTGTCGGTGGCCTGTAACGAGGCGAAAATGGAACGGCGGTGGCAGATGGAGGAGCCACCACGTGTAGCGTACAATACGCGTGAGAACCCAGCGAAGCGGGTTGAAACTCAGTGCCTAGTTGTTGCACGGAGGAAGGGTAACCAACGACCGCCAGAAAGTGATGTGCCGGAAGCCATCAAGTTGATGAAAAGATGGAATGTCAGTCGCAGGATGCAGCGCCCGGGTAACATGCTCAGGAAAGAGTACAGCGACGATGATCAGCGGTGTTTGGCACGCAGTCGTATTCATTGTGAGGTCCGGAATACCAGAGTCGATTGTGGTGTTCGTGCATTCGTTTGTCTAGGATTGTGATCCCCAGGAAGTCCTTTGGTGGGGAGTGATGTCACGCAACGAGCGGTGGACAAAGTGAAAGGACTTCTTGCATGTGATTTTGTCGTACTTTGTGACAGTCGAATTGTCTCAGTGTTACTAGTTATCGTTAGCTTACTGGTTTGCTGTTTGAATCTGCGTTTGGTTTATTTATTGTTTATCTGACACGTCTTTTCTGTGTCTTTTGTTTGGTTGACGTCATGAGGTCCCATGGCTACGCGGCTCAGTCGCGGATCCTTCTGCAGAGCTGGCTACTTTTTCGGTTGCTTTTGGATTCCTTATTTGATGCATGTAAATTAGTGTAGATTAGTGTAGTACGTTGGCGTCGTTTGCGCTGCTGTGGGTGCTTTGTAGGCGCACGTGTATGTGCACGTTCCGCTGAGGAGAGCGTTTTGGCTTTCGCTTGCGCTACTTGTTTCTTCGATATTTTCCTTTTCTAGTTAGTTGTTGTTCCTTCCGTGATGGACGGATAGTTTTCTTTCTCTCTTGTTTCACCTGTATCATATTGTTCCTGTATCCTGTAAATATCCCAAACTGAGTTGTGTGAGCTTGTTGTCGGTTGGATCAAAGACCATCATAGTATAAGCCATAGTATAAGGCGACGTTTTTCGGATGACGAGTGTGCGGCGTATACTCCGGAAAATACGGAATGTCGTGTTATGCCTCTGTCCATTCACACCACCCATCGTTGGTAATATGTTGAACTTACAGCAGAAGAAATGGTCGAGTCCGTTCGGACATCGTTCAGGATGTGCACCGGAACAGACTAGACTCGTGTCAATACACGTCTCGTTCTGTCCACTTGGCAGTAATCGTCCTGCCGTATCCAGGGTGATGTTCTCCTGGCAGCTGTACTGATTAAACTCAGCACAGCGTGATAGACCTGTACACGAGTGTGGGCATTCACAGCAATCAACGGTATAATTATACCCACACAGGCAAGCATGCACGCACACATGCACGCACGCACACACACACACACACACACACACACACACACACACACACACACACACACACACACACACACACACACACACACACACACACACACACACACACACACACACACACACACACACACACACACACACATGTGCACACACACACACACACACACACACACACAAACAAACACACACACATACACATACACAAACAAACGCACACACACACGCACGCACACACATACACACACACACACGCACACACACAAACACACACACACACACACGGACACAAATACACACACACACACACACACACACACAAATACACACACACAGAGTAGAACGGAGTGAACACCAGCAGCATTGAAAAGACACTTAGCAACTCAGCTCAAGCTGGCATTGCCCAACATCAATCCTGAAACACAATACTGTCACGACGTTGACATGATGCTCAACGTCATGAGATTATTTGCAGTACACGTCATAGTTTGTGTTCTCTATCCCGGTTTTGTTTCCGCGTTCCCACACCGAAGCTGGGCCGCGAGTTTATTATTTCTACTGACTCACTCACCTCTTAGCTACGTCCTCCATGTTTTTTCCTGCCTCTTTTTCTCTCTGCGCAAGCGCCTTGCGCATTAGTCGTCTTCTCTCAGTTCACAGCAAGACCAATAATTATTTACCCCTTGTGCATTGTCAGTTAAATTTAGTCAAATCAAGCTCTCCCGATCCCAAGAATAAGAACATTGAACTGCCTGGCGTGTGCACACAATACCCCAGTCATCGCGCTGGTTTGAAATACAATCTCACAGCAGCTAGGTTGCAATGCTAACGCCGACACATCTGGTGGGTCGAGTTGCTCCCTGTACATCGGCACGTTGTCCCTACATCCCCTGCGTCTTGTTTTGTTTTTTTGTCTCCACATATCTCTCAGTAGGGCTGTGTTCTCAGTAAAAAAATCACGGTTCGCGCGAGAGTCAGCCAAAGGCCCAGTTTCCACATCGACAGGAACGCCACCACCCTCGAGCTTGGATCAAGGCGCAGATGCAGCTCCTAAGCGGTGGGGAAATGAGTAGACCAGACCCACCAGTAAAAAGAAAAAAGAACAAACGGAAAAAGTCCACCCTCGCCAGTGACACAATATCACTGTTTAATCAGTTACCGTACTCACCACAGCATGCCCAGGGAAAGGAGACAGAGTCGAGAGCTACATATCCACCATCTCCCATCACCGCTTCAAACTCAATCTACAGCAGTACAGCAGCATGCAGCACAGACAACAGAACACATACATACTGGCTATCCAGGACAGACAATAGAACACATACATACCGGCTATCTCTAAAATAATCACACCTGCTAAAACAGAGAGCATGGAAATATCATCCCAGTGCGTTTATTGTTACTCCCTCCTGTCCTTCCCTGCCCTGCCCTGCCCCACTCTGCCCTGCCCCACTCTGCCCTGCCCTGGCCTGCCCTGCCCCACTCTGCCCTGCCCCACTCTCCCCTGCCCCACTCTGCCCTGCCCTGGCCTGCCCTGCCCTGGCCTGCCCTGCCCCACTCTGCCCTGCTCCGCCCTGTTTTGACCGGAGTGCCCTGCCCTGTTTTTACCAAAGTGCCCTGCCCACTCTGCCCTGCCCCACCCTGTCCTGTCTCTCATCCCTATAAACTTTCACTATCTCCCTCCCTCCCTCTCTCTCTTACTTACCTGTAGATTGGAAGTGAGGTGGGTAAGCAATGTGATAGATTTACGTTCCCATTTCCCCCGTGTACTGGTTGAGTTACTATAGATAACTGGTCCAATACGATGTCCATTTGATAGTAGGAACACGTTGAGACGATTGTTACCTTCAATGCTGAACAAAGGGTGCATAGAACAACACAACAAACATATTGATACCTTCATTGCTGGACAATGGGTGCACAGAGTTACACAAGAACACACATATTGATACCTTCAATGCTGGACAATGGATGCACAGAACAACACAAGAACACACGGACACACACAGTGAATGTCTTGAAAACGCACAGTGAATATCTTGGGCACACACAATGAAAGTCTTGTACACACAATGAATGTCTTGTACACCTAGTTGCTGCAATGAACACATACAATGAATGTCTTGTACACCTAGTTACTGCAATAAACACAATCATGCAATGAATGTCTTGGATACACAGTGAGGGTATTGGGCAGAGCATCCTTCAAGACAGAACAGAATCGGAGCTTTGTCTGACAGACTGCTGAATGCCAAGAAGAACATTCGCACGTCATCAGGTTGGAAGGAAACGATGATGTCAACAGATTGGAAGGGGGCGATGATGCCGTCAGGTTGGAAGGAGACGATGTCATGAAGTTGGAAGGAGACGATGATGTCACCAGATTGGAAGGAGACGATGATGTCGTCAGATAGAAAGTTTTTTTTGCGCAGCCGATTCTATTGTCCAGATCATCTCCGGAGGCCACTAAGAATACCGAGAGTGGTGGCAAATGCTTTCACTCCCCATTTAGTTGGTTTGGCCGGCATATACTGTATAAGCAGAAAATTTCGTCGGTCAATAATTTTGTCCAACTCCAAAGAAAGGGAGTTCGTCCGGTTGTAAATTTCGTCCATGGATCATAAGGTGTATTGAAAAGCTGGACAAATCAATATTAGTCCGGCATTTAATTTAGTCCAACAGCTCGTTGGACGAAAAAGACGAAATTAAATTCCAGACGAATATTTCTGCTTGTACAGTACTGCTTGAAGGACAGACGACCCCTGTAAGCAATAATTTGCTCTTCCACAGGCACATCCCTCTTAGGGTGGTAGGAAAGTCGGAACCGCTTGCCGACTAGGTCCAATAATTTACGAACGGAACGGCAAGAGGGCCTCGATACCTTCCGTGCCCGGCATACAGTATACTCAATATGGTTGAGTTATCGACGAAATGAAGGCACAACAGGATCAGTTGGAAACGATTCCTGCAGACATAACCTTGGCACGAAGAGAAAAAAAGTTTCGTTTACGGGTGGGTGGGTCAAGGGGAGTTTCGTTTCGAAAAATATTGATATGTGAGACATCAAGGCATTCTTGCTGTCAAGCCAATCTATTTTTCGTTCAAGGGAGGGGGGGGGGGGGGAGGGTCCTAACTAAACTTTTTCGTTTCATGAAAATTATCCATAATAAATGCTGGATAGCCCCAAAGGTTGTACATTTCTTTGGCCAGTATTGTAGATACCGGCACCTACGGATTACGCTAGGTCAAAAGCGTGGGACACAGCTACGCACCACTGATAGTGTTGGACACGTCCAAAAATACCCCATCGGTCGGGCTCTTCATAGAGCCTTGGCATTCCCACACAGAAGTGTGTTGGACTCTCTACTTCGTCCGTGGCACTGCAAACTAGAAGTACACGCTGTTCATTTCGGCAGCCGTGCCACTTGACAGGTGACAAGCCAGGGGCCCTTTGCGTCGGCCGTGGTGCAACATAATATGGGTCAATCTCGTTCATCCTTGCTTTTATAAGAATGAAATGGAGCTTTTAGTGACATTTTGCATGTAAATCCCCATCTAGTAGGGTTCAGTAACCCAATTTTGGTGGACGTAGCGCGTTCGATAGGGAAGGACGAAGGGAGGGTCTCAGCTTCCTCGGACCAAGACCATTCGATTCAGCACCCCGAAGACTACGAGTAATGAAATTTAGATTCCAGACAATTCTTCCTTTTACTTTTTGGAGTTTGGAGTTGAGAAGTGAAGTTCCCTAAACAATACTTCCCCTTTAACCCTCTCACTACCAGCCATTCAAATATCGATCCATGTGGATCGATGCAATAGGCGATCACTAAATATTTCGTCACACGCTCAAATATTGTCGGGTTATTACAAATGATGGCTCTACGTCTTCAGAAAGACCTTGACTATCGACTGCAACTATCACTTTCACTCCTTGGTCCCTAATTGGCGCATGACGAAGTATTTTGTAGACTGTGAATTGACTCAATTGCGAAAATAATGGGTAGTGAAAGGGTTAAATTCAAATTCGAGTTGCCTAGTACTGTAGAGGCAGAAAATTTCGTCGGTCAATAATTTCGTTCAACTCCAAAGAAAAGGAGTTCGTCCGGTTGAAAATTTCGTCCATGGATCACAAGAGTGTATAGAAACGCTGGACAAATCGATATTCGTCCTACATTTAATTTAGTCCAAAAGCTCCTTGGACGAAAAAGACGAAATTAAATTCCAGACGAATATTTCTGCTTATACAGTACCAAACATGCACAAAACTTACTAATAGTGAATGACAAATGTACAGCCACCGCGAGGTCCAGATAGGCGTGGTGTGACGAACGAGGCAGTGGATCCGAGACGACGGATCACTCCAGCACCAGCATCTGACCTGGCAATCAAATAGCCACCTGCATGCACACATAGCGGAAAATTAAAAGTACAGCCATGGATACCCCCATGGATATAACATACTTTCAGTATATCATACACTCATGGATATAACATACTTTCAGTATATCATACACTCATGGATATAACATACTTTCAGTATATCATACACTCATGGATATAACATACTTTCAGTATATCATACACTCATGGATATAGCAAACTTCACCTATTAAAGTACGCCCATGGGTACAACATACTTTTAGTATGTCATAATGTCAGTGTAACATACAACAATGGATATCACACACTTTCAGTATGAAAGTAAGTAGTTGTTACTTGTGACTAGACCTCCATGTACCTCGTCAGTAAAGACAACCACACAAATCACTCTCTCGACGCCACTTTGACGATAGCACGGCCGCACACAACCTGTCATAACCCCTTACAACACTATGCTGACTTTGGCTACAAATCTCACTGCTCTTCTCCCCGCTGCACAAACAATAGACACCGGCAACACAACCTTCTCCAGCGCGTGTACAGACAACTAACCAGTCCGGGAAACATCTGTGACTGGCTCTCCAGGGTGTGCCTGCCCACTGTTGGTCAGGTCCCAGTCGAAGTGGTCATCCTGACTCTGAAGATGGCTAAACACTGATGAACTGGGTAAGTTATCAAAGCTTGCCGGCCTTTCGCAGAGGTCGAACGGGTTGTTCATTCCGCTGCTGTCGTCACCTGAACCACTGCCGGAACTCGAGCTTCCACCGGACCCGCTCGATGGCGGTCCAGGGTTGGGTCCCGGACCAGCTGGACAGGGAACGGGGTACGAAGGGCCTGTTGGAGAGAAAGAAAAATGGGACAGACGGAGAGTGTGAGTGAGTAAGTGAGTATGGTGGTGAGCGAGCGAGGGGCGCACGCGCGCGCAAGAGAGAGAGAGAGAGAGAGACTCGGAGAGAGAGAGAGACACACAGAGAGAGAGAGAGAGAGAGAGAGAGAGAGAGAGAGAGAGAGAGAGAGAGAGAGAGAGAGAGAGTGAGAGCGAGAGAGAGAGAGAGAGTGAGAGCGAGAGAGAGAGAGAGAGAGAGAGAGAGAGAGAGAGAGAGAGAGAGAGAGAGAGAGAGAGAGAGAGAGAGAGAGAGAGAGAGAGAGAGAGAGAGAGAGAGAGAGAGAGAGAGAGAGAGAGAGAGAGAGAGAGAGAGAGAGAGAGAGAGAGAGGGGGGAATATAACTAATAAAGAGCACTGAGCCCTCGGATCCAGTTGATGAATGAACATGGGTCTTGTGCACAATACAACAGTAAACCAGGCAATGGTTGTCTGAAAGTCAATCAGCTATGATCAAATACTTGACTGACATAACGAGCAAGTAGTGTAATACTAAGTGATATCAACAAGCAGTGTTTGACGTATGTAACACAGACAGGACTTGAAAGTGCCGCGCTGCAGCCGGCCTGGACTCATGACAAGCTGCTAGATCCACT